GGGGGAAGAGAATTCTCCAGTGTTCCCTGGAGCGGTCAGCGGACGCCCAGGGAGCTTGTGAAAGGAGAGAAGGGGAAGGACAGAGGATTGTGGATGGCTGTGTGGCACCTTCATAAAGAGTGGCAAAACACTCGGAGGGGCCGAAAGGGCGCCCCCGATTACAGCGTAGAGGAAGCTCTGCGCAGGGCGGTGACGGGCGTGCTTCACAGAGCGAGTGCAATTTCAACTTCTCCTGGTCCTAAGGAGTCCACACCTGTGCTAGTGAGTAGAGTTATGCTAGGGGCTGTTAGCTCAAAGCAGGGGAGGGTTCCCTCATTGATGGGATGGCTGTTGTGGGAGGTAGTGAGCTCCAGGGAGCCCTATGAATATGGGGGGTGGGCAGTTCTCCAGCACTGGCTGGATGGTTTGGACCTGGGAGTCTGGATTCTACATGGTTGTGATTCTTGAAATAATCCAGACAGTGCGCTGAGAAGGGCCAGGGACACCACTGCCCAGCCTGGCTCCTTTCCGGCCCCCGCCCTGGGACGCCGAGATGCGGGCCAGGGCAGAGAAGCGGCACTGGAGGTGAGGGAGAGGCAGGCTCAGCCTGCAGGCAGCAGCTGTGTGGCGGAGACACTCCTTGCCTCCCTCATCTGAGTCTCTGCTTTTGTAAAATGGGTCCACAGGGTGTTCACTGGGTCAGAAGCCCTGTGTCAGGAGCACCTGTCCAGAGCGGATGCCAGGAAACGGGAGCTGATATTATAAGTGAACAAAGAGAACTGCACTGTGGCCAACCCTAGGTAGGTTTTGTTGCCACACTATGCCACCCACTGTGCCAGCAACACACCGAATTGGGGGTGCCAGGCAAGGCCATGGAGAACCAGGCAAAGGGAATGCTGGGGCTCACCCAGAGCTTTATTTTCTATTTTGTGTCAATTCACAGTTCACCAACCAGAGTCTCTGTGTGCTGAGCCATAAGAAGGCAGGTTGACTCGATAAGCCCTCAGTAATCCAAGTCCCTTGGTAATAAAACATCCTGTCTCCAGGGCTGTGAAAACTAGTGATGATGTCAGTGACAGTTATAATAACTAGTGTTTGCTCAACATTAACTGCACTGCGGGTGCCGTGCATAGTGCGATACATACACCCCACTTGTCGCAGTATCACATTTACAGAGAAGGAAGCACATCACGTCAGGTCAGTGCATTTGCTCAAACTCACACAAAACAGCAATGAGGGAACGAGGGGTCCGGCAGCCTCAGCTCCACCCCTCTGCTGTGCCCTCTGGCTTTACAAGTGTCCCCATCATAAAGCTGCCAGTGACAGGAGGCCGTCCCTGTAGTCCCTGTAGCCCTGGCACATATCACTTAGGGGGAGCTTCAGGTAGACACTGGGCGTTGGTTTCCTCACAGCTCCTAGGTCCGAGGAGGCAGCGGTGACTTGGGGGAGCTCTCCACTGTCTGGCCCCAGGGCAAGGCCGCCTCTGTCCCCTGGCCTTGCCGAGAGCTCCTGTGTGTAGCTGTAAATGGATGCTTCACAGATACTCTCTGCCAGGAGGGCTGGCCATAAACTGTGCACCAGCAGCAGTAGCACAAAATTTCCAGATGCCCAGGATGGCTGTGGGGGCCCCGAGAAGTCGGGAGAAGGTGAAATCTGGGTACAGGCTAATCTTCATCTGTTAGAGGTGAGGAAACTTGTACAAATAGTAGGAAGCTCATGGGCATAACTCAAAGCAAATGCTGGGCCCTGGAAACAAACCCCTGGAGCTGGTCTGAGACTTTGGCTTCTTCAGCTCCCCGTCAGCTCACCCCTCATCCGCGTCTGCAGAATAAAATGGAGACCCACAGACCTGCCATCTAAACCCCTTGCGTTCCTCTTAACTGCACCCTCTCCTTCATTTGAACTTTCCTTCCAGTGAAGCAGGGGGTTGATCCTCACACTGTGCTCCCTTGTATGTCCCCTGGGACCTGGGACCGATGTCTTCCAGCTTTTCCCTCCACCTCTTCCCTGTGCTCATGTGCAGCCAAGGGCAAAGCTTTCCTATAAGACCCTGCTTTTTCCTGCAAACCACACATGGTCTCTCCTCCCTTCACCACCTTACGCTTTTGAAAGTGGTCGAAATTTACCCCTCCCTCCGATTACTTCTTTATTTTCTGTTCACTTGTCTATTTACTAAAATGTACCTACTTCCACGTCACGGTGATCATGCTGGCCTGGCAGCTGAGCACCAGATCCGGTGGCCTAATTTCTGTGCTCACTCAGCTACCTCAGCTCCATCCCTGGGACTTTTTAGCATTTGAAACTGTTAACTGCTCCTTCCTTCTGAAAGCCTCCCTGTCACATTGTCCTTCGAGCCTCATGCCCCATGCATCAGGGCTTGCGTTCTCTCTTCTTCTATGTGTCCTTTACTGAGTCTCTTTCTTTGCTGTTTCCCTAGCGATGCTCTGTGGTTG